AAAAAAAAAAAAAACTTCAATCCTCTAACAGTCAACTCTTTGCTCCATCAAATAACAAAGCTTTCCCAGCCCTAAATTTCTACAAACCTGCTGTAATCAAATCAAAATAATAATGCTCTTATTATTCTCCAAACGTATTATTCACCATGAGAGGTCCCTATCCAGCTCCTTTCTAACTCTTCAATGATTTAGCCACTAATAATCACTATCACTCCAAATGCATTTATCCACTGTTCCTCTTACGGCGCTATCTTTCTGTGTATCTTTCCATCTCCAAGGTTTTTAAGAGTCACTCCTTTCTATAACCTGGGCCTCGTACAATATATACCCATCATATATTTAAAATACATTTTCAAGGATTAACTTAATTAAAAAGAAATTACTGTACTGTGAAGGGATAATCTGGGGAAACTGAAATAAAAAGCCAAAAGTCCCTTATTTCCTTAAATATTGTTAGATGTTTTGACTTCTATAAATGTCAGTAAGACACCTGTTTGTTACATAACAAAAGGTACCAAGTACAAAGGGATCTGAGCCAGGCCACTTGGAAGGGAATATTGCCTTAGCACAATACTGTGTTTCTGTACAAACTAAATAATGAAAAACAAGCAAACAAAATGTTTTAAGCACATTAAATAGGTTGTATCCTACTAATTTACTTATTTAATAAATATCTTTGGAGGCTCTACCACATAGAACTGAATACCAGGGATATAGCAGAGAACAAAACAAACACTGGCACATGAAGACTCCTGGTTTTCATGGAGCTTTCATTAAAATTTTATTTGAAAATTGCAAACAAGAGAGAGAACAGATAATATGAAAAGTAGTGCTAAGTGTTTAGACAAAGAAAGAAGCATGACAAGAGGGCAGAGAAGGATTGGGAGCTGTTTTAGGGTAGCTGAAAGAGCAATTTCTGAGAAACAGACCCTGAGCAGAACAAAGCTGAAAGGAGGTTAGGGAAAGAGTCATGGAAGTGTCTGAAGGGAGAGAGTCAAGGCAGAAGAAGAACGTTAAAGATGCTGGAGAGAGGATGGCTGGCACAGAAGGGGTGTGGACAAGGTGAGCAGCTGACACCAAACACTCCCTGCACTCAACAAGTACACAAAGTCACACTACACAGCCACTAAACGGCAGTAGTGACGGCAACTGATTACAAAATCTCATCTTCATCAATCCATAGCCCATGAAAAAACTAGGAAAGGTTTCCTCATATTAAGCTATCACTGAAAAATCTACAAATCAAAGCCAGGATAAGAATTAATTGAGCCCAGTTCACAATGAGTTCACAGGTTCAGAAAGGAGACCACCACATGAATGGATCTCACAGGGAAAGGCTGCATGTCAGGCCTGGTACCAACAGAAAGGCCTACTCTGCACAGACCTCTCAGGGACCAGCACAAGAAAAGAGGAACAGGGCCTGTACTTGACGATGACAACATCACATACAGCTAACAGCATCAGCATGGCCCACACTTAGGGCAACAAAAACAGATAAAAAGACTAGGTCAGAAATCTACTTCAAGTCCTCTATTCAAAAACTTCTATTTCACAACAAAACAACATCATAAGTAGTCCCCAAAATATAAATATAGTACTGGGTCTAAATATAACCTAACTGCTGCTGGTGCTGTAGCCCCATGTAAACCCCGCCACTGAGTTGATTCTCATGGGTCTCCCTCGGCCCTTTCAGTGACACTGTGCAAACCAACACTGTTCAAATTCTAAACATGGGGCTTGACTCTGGCCTATATATTACACTCCATGTTAATGTCCTGAGGAAAACACCTCTCTCTTACTTTATTTCTTTCCAATTCCCTTGAGATCACAGAAACGGTCTAAAAATCAAAGGCATGGTTTTTCTCTTGGAATACTCATTTAAATTCTAGTGGTATCAACCCCAATACACTGAAAAAATATTAAGGGACAAGGAAGTCTACATATAACAATCTTTATTTTAATTATATAAATGCTGAGAGATATGGAGTTAAAGAAGGATTCCTCAGAGATTTGCAACTTTAATTTGACTTTAAAGATTTATACCTTATAGAATTAATATTTTAACAAGTAATCCAAAGTGTCTGAAAAGCAGTGGCTGCTAACAACTTAAAAGTCAATCTCCTCTTCAAATGAACCCTGCAAAGTTCATTGCAATGAACTTCTAGGGGTTCATCTAACCTACAGTACTACAGTTGATCCTATTCTCTTAGTAATAAAGTAACATGTATAAATATGTGTGTGTGTGTGTGTGTGTGTGTCCTTTGGTAATCATTTTTCTTTCAATTTTAATAAAATGACTTAACAGAGTCTCATGAGAAACATTTAAGCTAAGTTTTGACTTACTCTCTAAGTACTAAAATTAGATTTCTCACTATTCACCTGCTAATTCAGCACAAACATGTCAAGGTTAATGTGAAAACTTCATGGCAAGCTTGACGATGTTTAGATGTGACACCATTCCCAGATTTCATATATTGATATTCCCCTTAAATCATAGGCAGATCTATAATACTGCACTATAGTTATAGTTTAAAGAGTAGCTTGGTTTCACATGGAAACTGTAACCAAGACAAACCTTCTCATAGGATGGAGTTCCAAGACCATTAAATCATAAAAAATTGTTTCAGCAGCTGGTTAAAGCTGAGTGTACATAACACAAGACATCTGGTTGTCTGTGCATTTTCAGTTCATTTAAAAAGTATAAACACATTAAAACACTGAAATGTTTGATAGATTGCAACACCGCTTGCTCTTCAAGAGTGTCTAAGTAGCTATTCACCCACTATGTTCACACAGCTTATTTCCTATCTAAAGATATTTACAGTTTTCATCCCCCTTAACTTCACCAAAACATTTTATTAATAAAGGCAAAACAACAAAAAAGAATGTAACTATTTAGTAAATATATTAAATCATTGCTATTTGGTAATGAAAAAAATGTTACTAGAGGTTAAAACTAAATCAGAAGCATCTGAAGCACTCCACATGCTACGATAAGGAAACAGCAGACAATATTTGGGTTCAGCTACCCTATCAGTGACAGAAATCCAGTCACAATAACATAGACAAACAAGGGTCTACTGTTATCACACTAGAAGTCTGGGATGAGGGAGGGGGACCCTAGTTGACGACTTTGCTTCAGCAGCTCAATAACATCCAAGCAGAATATTCTGTTACATACTTGGTTCAGGGTGTCAAAATGGCCAGACAACTCAAAAGACCTTGTCCACATTCTTTGACAACAAAAGGGTTGTCAAGAACAAAAAGATACCCCTCCTTCTTAAGTGTTTTACCCAAAAGTGTTATTGGAGGATTTCCCCAGGTCTCAACTTCCCCCCTAGCTTCAAAGAAGGCTGGACACAGAAATCTCTGAAAAGARGCCAGAAATAAAATCAGGCCAGGAAAAAAGGTAGAACAAATACAGAATGGCTAACTAGCTGTGTCTATGACATACAAATTTGCTTTTCTCTCAAACTCATTTCCATAGATCTATAAAATCTCTGATTATAGAGATTAATCTAATTCTGTGCCTAACGCTTAATATTGCCAAAAGATTTGATTATTTTCCCTTAATATAAAATTATTATTTTGATGATATATAATCAAAGTATAAATACTATTAGGCAAGAGAGATAAAGGAATTCCATGGATGTATAATCCTTAAAAGACACACATAAAAATACTACACCTGGACCTACAAACTCTTTAACATTATCTATTATCATCTTCAATACACAAAGGAGATAAAACAAATCCTGGGCTTAGCCAGAACTTACAAGAGTGGAATATCAGTGATTAACTGCATCAAACAGCAGAGCAATTCTTCCAAAAGATCTTCTGAGTCAGAACCTGGCAAGACACAAAAAAAGTTTTTAACAAAGTATATAACAGAATGGATTTGTTTAGAGGTTTTCAGTCCTAATAAAAGTAAGAATAATTATCATTATATACATTCACACACTAATTCTGACCTCTGAATAAAATACAAATCATAAGCAAGTTAGCATCTATGATTATTAATTATTCATCAGCTATTAATATAGCTTTTAAAGCTGGAAAGTATCTTAAAGGTCCTGTAGGCCAGTAGTTATACAATTTCTTATTCTGCACTACATTTCTTTTAATGAAATCATATATTAAGATAAAATACTGTTTGAAGAAAGGGGAGAGTACATGTACCCCATCCTGCCATAAATATCTGACCTTATCTTTGCTCTTCTTGATAAGCCCCAAGGCATCTTTTCCGAACCCCTAGGGTTCCCCAGATCAGACTGAATCCCACCAAGAAGCTAATCAAGTCTTTACAGACAAAATGACAAATGAAATGGCTTTCCCAAGTCACAGAATAAATAAGTAGCAAAGGTAGGATACAAATTACCATTCCAATGGAATTGCCTTCTATCCCAGACTGCTACTGCTAAGTGACTTTCAAATTTGCAAAGCCAATCAATATCCTTCGTGACTTCTGGTTTTGGACATGTTATTCTTTCCTCAGTTCCTGTAACATTTTATTTCCAACCCACTTCTCTTTCTATTTCTTCCCAGTGTCTGCTTCCTCAGAATACCTGCCCTGAGTGCTCCYGCTGGCTGTCTTCTCATTCCCAACATCTCTCACCAATCACTACCCATGTACAAGCGACTCCTAAGTCTATAGTTTTCCTCTTGGCCTCATGTCTGACTGTCATGTTTCTATCCAATTGCCTACTAGCCATCTCCACCTAAAAATCAAACTCACCTCTCCTAACATTTCTTCTTTTTTTTTAAATATTTATTTATTTATTTTTAGTTTTCGGCGGACACAACATCTTTGTTTGTATGTGGTGCTGAGGATCGAAYCCGGGCCGCATGCATGCCAGGGGAGCACGCTACCGCTTGAGCCACATCCCCAGCCCCTAACATTTCTTCTTTATCCTCCTTTTTTGGCAACTGCATCAGTAGCCAAGGTCTAAACCCAGACTACACTCTCTTACTCATCCTTCTGTAACTCATTCAGTCTGTCACTAAAACAGACTGAATTTGGGAGCACCCTACTGAATTAAGAGGAACTTTCTCAAGTGGGAGTAAGAGCTGAAGAGCTGAACCCCCAAACCAGAATTGGGCCTCTGCCCAGGCCTTTGCAGCACAGCTAACTCAATCTGCATCAGTACTTCCTGTCGTTTTTCCCATTGTGCTTCCTCTTCAGGTCTTCTAAATCTACACATGTCTATCACTTGACTTTTGTTTCTATAAATTGTAATGCCTCTGTAGGGCTGCCAGGAGAAATAAGAGAAGCAATTTAGTTGTTTCTCCGTAGTTTGATTAAACTGCATAAAGTTCATTTTTCCCCTTTTCATTTTTTGCCTATTTCTTATTAGGGCGGGTGGTAAAATCCAGCCAACCAGGACTCAGGCAGGGTCCCTGGGCTGGGCTGATGGTAACCTAACCACCCAGTCTCTGGGTCCTGTCAATTACCTAGTCCACCTCTCTGCCTCTTTCCTTCAGTCCCTCTGTTATGACTCTGTTCATTAGCTCATCATCTCAGTTCAGTTAAACAAGTTTATTAAATTAAAACTCACTCCTGAACATTTCTAACCCTTCGCAGTTCTAATGATTGTACCTCAATTTCAATCCTCTTCAATCTAAACTCCAGATGATAACAAGAGGGAGCTAACTGAATTCCATCCTTTCACCTCCTAGCTTAGATCTTTTCATTACTTTAAGTTGATGACTATATATCAGGAAAAAATTCTGAGATCTAAAGTAAGCATGCCAGTCCTTTCAAGTTATAGACCTGCACCCACTTCTACCTTCTCTCCCTCCATTATCCCTTTCACAGTGTATATTCCAAGCTATCTGCTATATGCCATTTTATACTTTCACAACATTCCCATTTCTTGGAATACTCTCCAACAATAAAAACATGATTTTTTTTCTTCTCTTTTTCTTCCTTGTACTGGGGGTTGAAAACAGAGGCACTTTACCACTAAGTACATTCCTAGTCCTTTTTTTTTTGAGATAAGGTCTCAATAAATCGCAGAGGCTGGCCTCAAACATGAGATCCTCCTGTCTTGGCCTCCCAAATCACTAGGATTACAGGTGTATGTCATGGCACCTAACTAATGATTGTTTCTTTTCTTTTCTTTCCTTTTCTTTCCTTTTCTTTCCTTTTTTTTTTCCTTTTTCCTTTTTCCTCTTTCCTTTCCTTTCCTTTCCTTCCTTTCTTTCTTTTCTTTTTCTTTTTCTTTTTCTTTTATACTGGGGATTGATCCACTGAGCCACCTCCCTTGCCCTTTTTATTTAGAGGCAGGGTTTCACTAAGGTGCTTAGGACCTCACTAAGTTGCTGAGGTTGGCTTTGAACTGGTAATTATCCTCCTCAGCCTCCCAAGCCACTGGAATTACAGGCATGTGCCACGATGCCCAGCTAATGATTTTTCCTTAAAGTCCATGTTTATCCATCTGAACTATTCTCAGTATCCATCTCTTTTATAAAATTCAGTTGCCTAACCATAAATAAAAATAATAATCTATAAAGTATCCATGCCTTAAGCATGACTTTGATTGCACACATATGCATATATGTTTCATCCACTGACTATGGTAAACTATTACTTCCTATCTACAAGCAGGCAGATCCTTATTGGATTCTAGACTTCTTGAGGGCAACAACTGATAAACAGCTTGAACATCACTTGGCCCTCCATGTCATCCCTGAATTCAAACAACTGCAGATTGAAAATATTTGGGGGGTTAAAAAACTGCCCATATTGAACACATATGAACTTTGTTCTTGTCAATATCCCCTAAACAATACAGTAAAAAACTATTTGCATAGAATTTTCATTGTGTTACATCTATACATAATCTGGAGATGACTTATGGTATATAGGATGATTATGTAGGATATATGCAAATACCATACATTTTATATAAAGGTCTTGAACATCTGTGGATTTTGAAATCTATTAGGGGGTGGGCATTCCTGGAACCCATTCCCAAAGATACTGAGGAAAAAACTAATATATACTCAAGACATATTTGCTGAACTGAATCCAGGTGTATTAGTAAAGATTCAGCAGTAGTATCCAAATCACTCAGAGTCTCAAAAAAAAATTTTTAGTCTTTTTTTTCCTAGGCCACAATATTACTTGCTATTTAGAAATTATAGAGAAACTTTCCTGCCTGGCCACAAAGAGAACTGGCAYAGTAGCCCTTTGATGGGTGAGTACAAATATTGAAGAGAATATTAAACCATACTGAACATACCAATCAATGCTAAAAAGAATACACAGCAAGACTCAAATTCCTGATTGGACTTTTTATTTCTTGGCTGTAAACATATCTAATTTTTAAGCCTTAAAATAGTGACATGAACTCTCTAGCCAGTTGCCATCATGACCACAGCCAAGTTTACAACTAGGTGAAGGAAGGCATATTCAAAGTATTCTTATCAATTTAATATAAAATGATAATTTCACACAAGTAAAAATTTTTAGGGCATTTCAAACACAACGCCCTAAAAAAAGATAAAAATAAAAAATTTCCAGTTAAAATTTCAGAAGACTTAAGTTATTTTTAAAAAAGCTTCAGACTCATTATTAAAATAAATCTTCAGAATTATTATTGTTTGGGGCTAATCCAGAAGTAAATACTTATGCACTAAGTGAATATTAACAAGGTTTGACTGATTACCTGGTTTGCCATTAAGCAAACCATTCATACTGCCCTGATTTCCAAGAGGTATTTATATCACCTTAGCTTTCAATTAAAAACAAATAAATATAAATTCATCTACCAAAAATTACAACAAACTCATAACACTMCTCAGAGTAAAGAAAATCTAAAAAGCCTTTCAGGTTAGCAGGTCAGTGACAAAGTACACTGAGATTCTTTTAGCACAGAACTCTGCAATGTTCAATGTGTTTACTCCACTGTGACTTTTACTACTTAAAATTTTTCTCCTTAAAAGAGACTGTGTCTCTCTTAAGAATTCTTCTTAAAGAGTTTTAAATTGAGGCTAGGATGTAGCTCAGTGRTAATGTGCTTTCATTGCATACACAAAGCCCTGAGTTTGATCCCAGTTCCAACAGAGAAAAGACAAAAAGTAAATAAATTGTCTAAATAGCTGTAGTCAAATGTTTTAATATTTTAACTCTTACTTTCTGTGAGCTAATACAATAGCAAATCTTACTGAGTGCTCTGCCCTTTGAGAGGCACTGTGTGGAAAACTTCATACTGTCTCAAACTGATTCTAACAATAATTCTTAAGGAGTTGATATGATTATAATTATCATTTTACAGATGAAGAAATCGAGACTCAAAGAGGTCAGTTTACTTAGAGTAAAGGGTACAGGTCACATCTGTACCCAAATCTAGACTCTCATGGGGGAGAAAAAAAAAACTTACAAATTATTCTAAAGCCCTGTTTCTAAACATAGCAGAGGAAAAAACCTGGTCAACTGAGCCATGTTTCACTCAAAACCCTAAATACAAAATCTCTGATAAGTGAGGATTGAGAGCCAGATTAGGGGAGAGAGATGTGAACTATTAAGTTTATGTATCAGCATTATTCGCTATACATTCAACAAGCACGCAGGAAGTCCCAATAATAACCAATCTAAAATAATGAATAAATATTAAAATTATTATGCCGAAAAGGTCAGTAAATCTCAGCCCTGTCCCTGGATTTCTTCCACTCTAAAGCCTTAACTCACTTCTCTGGTTCCTATGAGTTTCACAGAGGAAGAAGCAAGGATAGGAGGATTTCTCAGGTCCTTTCCAGCTCTACTAATCTATATCCCAAATTGAGCTACAGCCAATTTATTCCTTTTGTTTGGCACCCACTTGGTACCATGGGTCAAGATATCCCTT